GAAATATGCCCAGCGGTCTTCTGACAGAGGTACAAAAGCATCCAATGAAGGATAGCCTTTTCTACAAGTAATATTTGTGTCAGTAATTAGGCAAGCATATTTAACAAGGAATTTGAGTACAGAATATAAAAGGAACTCTCAAAACTTAACATTATAAAACAAAGATCCAATAAGAAAATGGGCACAGACATGAAAAGACATTTCATTGAAGAGGATGTTCAGATGGCACATGAGCACACCAAAAGATATTCAACATCATTTACCATTAAGAAAAAAGAAATACTATCCTTCTCTGGTTCATGAGCATGATGATTGGGTTTTCACGGGTTTGTGTGACATGTGTCTCCCATAAAACTTGTAATGACGTCAGCACATTACCCATCTGACACGAGGGGAAAAAAGAGAGAGAGAAATAAAAACAAATCGTGTGGTGCTGATTCCAGCTTACAGTGACCCATGTGTCAAGAATAGAGTTGCTATGGTCTTCTGGACTGCAGTCTTTACAGAAGCAGGTCACCAGGCCTTTCTTCCTTGGCACCGTATATTAGTTAGTAGTTTAGTGCAAACCATCTGCACCACCCAGGTACCTCATGGCCATTTTGGAACTACAAATTGTGGTGAAGTAAAATTTCTTTCTCATAGGACTTCTTTACCCATTTCTCTATAACTCCCGTTAAATGATTGAATGGGCCCAAGGAAATGGGATATATGAAACACTAGCAGATGGCAGTGGTCAGGTTGGCTTGTCATTGTTAAATGGGCCAACTCAAAATCAGGAAGAGAGCAATCTTGGGCATGCAGTGAGTGCCCAGCCAACCCTAGACCCGTAGCGGTGATGTTCTCTGATGGCAGCGAAACCATGCCACAGCTGCTCTGGCCTTGTGTCACTCTGCGGCCTGTGAAGCTACTGTTTGGGTTCTGGAGGGACTTGGCTTTGAGGAAGGCTGGCTGTTGATTGGAAAGGTGCCAACTGACCGTGCAGAATGGGAGGCCCAGTTTGAGGTACCCTAACTCTCCAGTTTAGCCAAAAGGCAGCTAAGCTAGTGAAGAGGCACTCCCTCAATTCAGAAATAGCAAAAGATGGCTGCTGGTCAGCACAGCTATACCACTTATTAAGCTAACCACCATTTCATCTAATACTTATAATGACTATGGAAAAGGTACTAACATCATCCCCATTTTAGCAGCGAGGAAAGCAAAGCACAAAGAGGTTGACGGACTTTTCAAGAATACTACTAAGAAGCAGATAAGGAGCCCTGGATTGCCTAGTGGGCTATGCATTGGGTTGCTAATTACAAGGTGAGCAGTTTGAACCCACCAGGCGCTCAGCAGGAGAAAGATGAGGCGGTCTTCTCCCATAAAGACTTACAGCCTCAGAAACCCACAGGGGCAGCTTGACTCTCTCCGATGAGATGAGTCAGTATCAAATTTGACTTTTAAGAAGCAGACTCGGTGTCACTGGGATAAGGGGGTACAGACCATACCTGGTAACACTGTCAGAGGGTAATACCAAAATGACTGTCCATAAAATGCTTGTGTAGTGTTTCAGCGGAGGTTTGTTAGTTTTTATAACTTATAACTTAAAAAATTTGTTGTTTTTATCTATAACAACAACAAAAAATTTCATAAGCCTTGCTTACATGAGACTGATATCCTCCGCTTTTTAAGTCTGATTTACGTCACTTTACTATTATGAAAGACCTATGCCGGTACCCAAAAGAAATCTGAGGAGGATTTTTGCTTAGACAAAAGATAACAAGCATAACTAGAATTCAGCATTTGTTTTGCTGAGAACTAATTAAAGAGGTAGAATGCACACAGAGTAGCACAAGTGGCTTCACCACGCTCTTTCCCTGGAAACTACACTCGGCACGTTGGCACTAAGCGTCCGTAACTTTGAACTGTGTCTATGAACACTATATTAGGGTTTTAGGTTTTGTGTCACTTGGTAGGCTATTTTGGGGGTCTGAAAATGCTGAAAAAAAAGTTTTTCCCCATGTAAATGAATGGTAACTGCTTCTTCACTGTTATGCCATTTCAGCTTGTAAGAGGTTTCAGTGGATACTTCCAGATAGTCTTCAGATAGTTGGAGAACTTGAATCAATATACCTACAGGGCTAAACTCTATTCAGATCGCCTTTAGATCGTTGGGGAAACCAGAATCAATATGCCTACAAGGCTAAAACTCTACACTAATGTTCTTTTTGAACCTGCCAAAAAACTATCTGTTTTGGAAGAAGTACAGCCAGAATGCTCCATCCACTTGAGGTGGGTAAGGCTTCGTCTCACATGCTTGGGACAGGTTGTGTGTAAGAGACACAGGTTAACTACAATATTAGAGTAATCAATACTTGTGAAATTCTAGCAATATCATTTTTGAGAATGAAGTCATAATTAAAGGAGAAAAGCAAGCAAACAAACATATTGTCATTGAGTTGATTCCTATAGGACAGTGTAGAACTGCCCTGTGAGTTTCTGAGACTAACTTTTTATGAGAGTAGAAAGCTCCGTCTTTCTCCTGAAGAGAAGTTCATGGTTTTGAACTGCTGATGTTTCTGAATACAGCCTAACTTGTAACCACTATGCCACCAGGGCTCCTAATGAAAGTAAAAGGAGAAAAATAGAGGCCTCTATTCATTACTAATAACATTGTAATCACAATGTTGTAATTCAAGGAAGGTAGATTTCACAAGGCAATTTCGTTAGTATTCTTATAATCTAAAAAATATATCACAGAGAAAATTTCACCTATATTGATGACATATTATTAAAAGATTAAAATGGATAATTAATAATTTCTAAAGATTTTGTGTGGTAAATTTCTTGATATGGTTTTTCTAGCCATATATTTTATACCTCCCACCAAATCATTGGATAGGACTATGTAAATGTGAAGTGTTTGTGGCTCACCAAGGGGAGTAGATAGTTTTGTTAGTCATATAAATAAGGTACACTACATACCTGTAGGTTAGGAACATGCAAATGAGATGTAAGGTGCCCTAACATGGGGGTTAGTGAGTTTTGCCATCCTGCTAGGTTTAAAATGAGCCATCTTAGAAGCAGAAAGGGAGAGCTATCGAGAAGGGAGAGCCAGGAGTGAAGTGCATCTTTTGGGCTGAGTTCCCTATGCTGGATCCGTGATCCAGCTATGCCACTACAGGTGGCTGTAGTAGAGGCAGCAGAACCAAGAGCACAAGACAGAGAGGTGGACTTCCAGACCCACAGTGCAGAAACCGAGTGTCTTTGGGCAAGAGGCTTGCTATCAAAGTGGATTGTCTCCTAGCACTTATTTGAAGGAGTTAAGTTTGCCAACTCACAGAATTAGAGCTGATCACTTTGGGGCAAAGCTTGCTAGTGAGATAGGGGGGCACATCTGAGAAGAGGCTGCCCTGACTGTAAAACTACCCTGGTTATTCCTGAGCCTGAATTGTAACCTGTTACTTCCCTAATGAGATACGACTACATATCTATCAGAATGGCTATATTTTAGTGACAACAGCAAATGCTGGCCAGGAATGTCAAGAAACTATCTGAGTTAGTATGTTGTGCCAGGGTGCAGCTGCTTTAGCAGTTCCCTGCTTCAGCTTGCAAGGCTGACTTCCTGCAAGACATCCCCAAGGAGAAGCCACATGGACCTACCCTGATGCAGCCCTGGGTGGTGGAGCAGCCATGTGGAGACCCCTGCCAGCGCTGAGATGCTTACACATTCACTGACTCGGCTTTCCTCCTGCAGTCGGCATCACAGTGTGTGTTTTGTGAGATGGAGGAGGACTTTGTGGACTGGTGTTGGACATATGGGTTAATATTGGGCTTGTGGACTTGGGCAGCACTGGGGTGGGGTGTTCTCTTGATTCGCATTTAACCTTTATCTAAAACTCTCTCTTTCACATGAGTCTCTGTGGATTTGTTTCTCTAAAGTACCCAGACTAACATACTATCACTCATGCATTGTGTGTGAATATAAAATGTGATAGTTATTCTGGAAAAAGTTGGGCAGTTTCTTCTAAAACTAAAGTTATACTTTCCATCTGACCCAGCAATTATACAACTGGGCATTTATTCCTGAGAAATGAAAACCCATGTTCCTGAAAAAACGTGTATTCAAATGTTCACAGTGGCTTTATTTGCAATTCCAAACCCGGAGGCAACCAAATGTCCATCGATGGGCAAAGCCCTAGCGTTTACTACTACCCAGCAATAAAAGGGATCAAACGCTTGATACCAGCCACTTGGATGGACCTCAAAGGAATTTGCTGAATAAAGAGAGAAAGGCAAATCTCAAAGGTGACTTATTGTACGATGCCGTGAAAATAGCATTCTTGAAATAGCAAAATGACAGAGGCCATTACCGCGGTTGCCAAGGGAGAGGGACGAGGGAGAAAGGGTAAATGTGGCTGTATTCAGGCATGGCACAGGGGAGTCTTGTGCCAACGGAAATGAGGGATCTCAAGTGTGTGTAGTGCTGCCACAGAAGTTGCACGTGATGAAATTGCAATAACCCATATACACACCCACAGAAGAGGGTATGAACACGGGTCACATAAGATTGCCGTTACAGGGCACAGTTACACTAATGACGCCTCTGACAGAGTAGAGCCGTCCCACAGGGTTTTCAGGTAGTCATCGTCAGGGGAGACATCGCTAGGTCTTCCTCCTTCAGTGCACCTTGCGGGTTCAGCCTCCAAAATTAGAATAAGCTCTGTGAACCGGACCAGTGCCCATTTCCTGTTTTTGATATTGTACCAGAGCCCTATCAAACGACAACCTTGGAGGAAGTGGGGTGAGAGTTACATAACACCACCCAGTACATCTTTTTTGCAACGTCATATAGACTTTATTTTTGCCTGGGTATGTGGCTGGGTGTATATGAAGAGAAGTGAAACAGTACTGGGTTCCCGTCGGTACGTGATGGGTTTCTTCTAAACAAAACTGGTTTGAAAATGCCTCTGCAATCAGTGGATGGCTGCAGACAGGTTCTCTCAGGAACACGCTTGTCTTCGTCTCATTCCAAACTAACGTCAAACTCACTGCCATTGAGTCCGTTCCGACTCACAGCGATCAATGGGACTGGCTAGAAAAAACTGCCTCTGTGGGCTTCTGAGACTATAACTCTTTT